TGGGTTTTGTGTCTCTGACTCCTGCTTACCACTCGCGGTAGAGACACTCATCTTCACAACTGAAAAGGATTGAAAATGAATTAAGGAGTACCATGGATCAAATCATATTGAACAATTTCACGTTAAATATGTATTGAACATGAACTTCTACGTGTGCAATAGACATTTTCTAATGCCATCAACAAATTTGCTCATTCTCAATCTAGAAAATGTAATTTGTAAACTGTAGTTTTGTTACTTTGACATTATAAATGTATAGCTCCATGTAAGTAATACTATTACTGAAGTGCCAGACACTTTCTTCACGCTATCTGGCTGTATAGATAATGAAAAATAAATTAATTACTTTGCTATGCAAGTAAATATTTTTTATGTGTATGTTACGGTCTCACTTAGCCAGTAACCGAGGGGCCAGATTCACGAAGCAGTTACGCTAGTACTTACGAACGTGTACATCTTTCCTCAATCTTTGATGCCTTTGGTTACTTTATTAAACAGTTTACAAGGGTGAAAACTTGCCATTCTACTGTTGTTATTGTTATAAACAGCCTCCTGGTGCTTCGGAGCTCATTAACTGTTTAATAATTGTAAACAAAGCCGCCAAAGATTGAGAAAAGATGTTCAGGTTCGTAAGTGTTTGCGTAACTGCTTCGTGAATCTAGCCCCGGGTTCTTTCTATGCAAAAAATTCTATGGGTCCTTAATGCCTCTGTTTACCAGATCCATTCCCGAGTAGGAAATGTATATGTTTATCTCTCAGAATGTTTGGTAATGTTAATTGTTTGTGATGTGTGTCTATGTATGTATTAACACGATGTACTGAACGGGGTGAGAATAGCTTGAGCTACCCCATCCTTTTGTGTGTATTATACCTCAATAAACTTATTTCAATTTCAATTTCAATTTATCCCAGAGTCATAGGAAAGTTATTCAGTACTGGAACTGATAATCAATCCAACGAGAATGGGAGGTAAACAAGACTAAACCATACCCTCACCATGTGTACTTCTTATCTATATACATTTGTTACATATGTACATAATATAATACGGCAGGTGTAACTTTCACACAGGACACTACAAACGACCGTCTGGGATCTTCTAACCCGGCGAGTCCACTTCTATCTTCCATCGTCCACCACTCAAGGTTCCGTCCCTAAGTCTGTCTTCTAGGGTCCTCACGGCGGCGAGTTCACCTTTCTCAGTAAATCATGGGTCAGTCCTACACAATATTGTCACGGTGTCAAACCACTTCTACTTTCCACTAACACGCTGGCTGAGGTCTCCACTAACACGCTAGAAGAGGTCTCCATCAACACACTGGCAGGGGTCTCCAGCAACACATTGGCAGGGGTCTCCAGCAACACTCTGGCAGAGGTCTCCAGCAACACACTGGCAGAGGTCTCCAGCAACACATTGGCAGAGGTCTCCAGCAACACATTGGCAGGGGTCTCCAGCAACACATTGGCAGAGGTCTCCAACAACACATTGGCAGGGGTCTCCAGCAACACACTGGCAGGCTTCCACACAGGCTTCACCTATAACAAGCCTTAACAGACGGACATTAAATTCGTCTGTTAACTCAACTGGGCCATTCCGGGATACGTCGATCCAAACCCCAACACCTCACTGGTTATCGCAGACAAATCACAGTCTACACCGACTCGGCCCACTTGTTCCCACTGGAACACGTCTAGAGTTCAGGACTGCCTTGGGTGTGTGTGTGTGTGTCCTGGGTGAACTAACTCTGGTCGACCAAGGTGCCATCCACATCACTTCTGTGGAGTAAAAAATGAAAAGTAAGAAGGAAACTACACAGGTGTCAATAAGATCACCGGGGAACATAAAATGGGGTCGGGTGTAATGGCGTTGACATCGTCACGGTATATTGTCTTCTTCATAAGGATCCGCAATAGCCTAATCCTGCCCTGCTAGTAGTAAATATGTATCTGGGAGTTAGTTAAATTGTCTAGGAGTTAGTCAGCTGTTGGGGTCGCATATGTCAGTGTGTATTGAGCTCGTGAAATCTTGATATGCCCAACAGACTTGCTAGTGTCCCCAACAACAGGAAGCCATCGAGGGTGTGTGTGGTGTGATGGAGACAAATGGGCGGCCCCACGAGCGCGCGGTAAACACAGCCACCAACGGTAATTCACAAGCTCAGATTATGGGATTGTCTGAGCGATTACTCTTGTGACGTCATCACTACAGCACAAAGATATTAATAACAGCGCTTTGGCCTGGATTCGTATCCCGGGAAGGATTGACCGGGCGCCAATCCTTATCTGTACGCCTCTGTTCACTCGGCAGTGAATGGGTACCTGGTTGTTAAACGATTCGGCGGGTCGTATTCCAGGAACATTTGATTAAGGACCTGCCCGAAACGCTATGAGTGCTAGTGGCTGTACAAGACTGTAATAACTCTTGCATATATAAATAACAAAAATAAAAAAATAGTGTTCTTGTCGGCCATTTTGGGACACGAACATATTACACTGGTTTACAAAATATTTTTAATTTGTTGTCACGGAGTAATGTGTCATTTTAACAGTATTTTTAATATAGAATTCAAATATATTATTAGTTCATTGTATCACGCAAGGTATTTTAGTGATGGACGGGATATTTTTTAATAAATCATATATTTTCATACTAGATGGGGTCCCCTGTGGTGCCCGGGTCTATCTGTTATCTAGGTCTTGCTCACACATGCTCCCCATCTTCCCCTACACACCCCACACTCTGTTTCTTTGAGAGGTGGTACCAACAGCCGAAGCCCAACCTCCTCACATACAATTTGGTTGTAGTAGCCAATTAGGTGAGTACACACCTCGAGACTTGCACACACTATGTGCACCTGCAGACATCACAGGACCTGTTTTTTTGTTTTTGCAGGGATATTCCTGCGCGGGCCTTATGCCTCTGAATACCGACGTAGCCGCCACGAAGGCGCTAAGAAGGAAAACATTCGTAAGTACCTTCGTGAATCTGGCCCCTGGCTGGCCCCCACACAGGACCTACACGCGTCGCAGGACCTGTCTGCATCACGCACCCTGCCTGCATCACGCACCCTGCCTGCATCACGCACCCTGCCTGCATCACGCACCCTGCCTGCATCACGCACCCTGTCTGCATCACGCACCCTTCAGCGCCACGGCCGCTGTGCTGTAGTGTTGACCATGTTGAGTGGTACGGTAGCCGGACGTCTTACAGATTGGACCATGAATATTTGAATTTAATATACAGAAGTTCATGAATATATTATATATATGCAAAACAGCAGAATTACCCCGAATAGTTAGGGCGTTTCACATCATCCTCGGAAAAGAGAGGACCGCCTCGACCACAGAAGACACTCCAGCGCGATTTTTCGAAAGAAAATTCTGAGTGAAAGCCGTGTACTCAGGAGACCCTGATGGTGAGGGAGTTAATACATACATATTCAGGTGATGAATGATGCATGTAATGTATAAACAAGTGTGAACAGGTTGAACCAAACAATGGCTTTGATTAACATTAATTTAAAAAGTAGAATGAAGGTGTAATGTTATACTTTATATGATAATTATGTTAACTCAATTTGCTCATTACATACTCCAATCAATAATTATATTTCTTGTTTAGGATTGACTGTTTCCCTTACTAGTGGCTATACAGGAATGTAAATTTCAACTTAATTTCTATGTTCTCTGTTAACCCCAATGTACCTTCTTGTACATATATAAATAAATAAATAAATATGAGTTCTTACATTCTTGTACAGCCACTAGCACGCATAGCGTTTCGGGCAGGTCCTTAATCCTAATTTGTCCCCGGAATACGACCCGCCAAATCGTTTAACAACCAGGTACCCATTCACTGTTGGCTGAACAAAAGCTACAGTTAAGGATTGCACCCAGTCAGTCCTCCCCGGTCAGGATACGAACACTGGGCAAACAATCATTTAGCACACAGGTTACAATCATTTAGTTACTACCTACAGTTAACAAACTGGAAATGTTTGGCTAAGATTTCTGGTAGCAAATCATTTTGAATCAAATATTTACACATCTCTAGAACATTTGTTATAGAATTATCTGTGAATTCACGTATCTTTTCGCACTCCATCACATAGTGACGGAGGGTGTGCGAATAATTTTGTTGACACAGTTTACATTTGGTCAGGTCTACATCAGCAGATAATGAGAATTCCCAGAGATACTTGTAACGGAGTCTAAGCCGAGCAGTAGTAACATCTAGAAGTGCACAGCAAGTCTGCGGCTTGTCGAAAGTCCCCCTATCTGCCTTGATTGTCCTTTCCAGCTGTACTTTAAAGCTTAACAGAATTTTGCATTAATGGCTTCGGCGGGTAGGCGGTTCCATGGGTTGATAACCATGTGGATGAAAAAGCATCCCCTGTTCTCAGTCCTACATTGTGGCTTGTAGGAGCTTGAAACCGTTGCTCCTTGTTTGTGTTACGCCTAAACTTTTAAAGAAATTTTTCCGGATCAGCATCCTCCAATTTGATATATGAGACTAACATGTATAAATACACTCTGGCTTCCTGTCCCCCGATACAATGAATTAGTTAGTTTAGTTCATTTATTATGCACCCCATACCCATCTTGTGGGCGGTGGTGGAAAGGGTTACAGAGGCACATAAAGGGCTCAGGGACTGAACCCCACAATTCATTTAGCTAAGCAAGTTACAGTCTTGATGAGCTAGTTACAAAATTCAATATAAGTCGTCACATCATCAATGGGTTCGAGATCGACCACAAGTACAATTTCTAAATTAAGCAACTGACATAAGTGAAGAGCTAGTGTCACAATTGATATGTTTGTCCTGCACACCGCCCCCCATCCAGTGGGCAGCGGTGGATAGGTTACAATCACTTAGTTACTAACTACAGTTAGCAAACTGGGGATATTTGGCTAAAATTTCTGGTAGCAGATCATTTTGAAAATTATTTACACATCGCTGGAACATTGGTTATAGAATTGTCTCTATCTCCCCAGCATACGATAATTTGCAATCGTTGCAAAACACGTCGTGTGGATTTTGTGAAACCGGCGGATGTATGCAGGAGGATCCGGTGCGTGCTGACGAACGCTGCCAGTGTCAACACCTGCTGCAGGAGGATGGTACCGGGCTGCTCAGTCGAGGTATTGCTTCCCTTTGACGTGTTGAAAGGATTCTGAGTTCAGTCTTGAAGCAAAGCGTGCGTGGCACTTGGTTTGTCTCAAAGTCACCGGAAAACATGATTGGGTTGCGATGTAGCCGGTAGCTATTCCTCTTTAACAGTCCTTAACCACCGCTACTGTTGCCCGTGTCACCTCTTGGGTGGCTTGATCTTCAGCAGTCAACAGTTCGTATTGATACAACGCCCAGCCAAGTGCATTTATCTCCTGGTGTCACAGTGAAGTTGATAGGTTTTTCGGTTTTGTGGTTCAGTCTTGGTGGAGAGAGGGACCTGGTGCCGGCCCAGCTGCCAGGTGTTCTTACTACACATGTTTTCACTGGAAGATGTTGCTGCAGTTTTTGCCTGAATTGCAGATTGGCCATCACTTACATGGAGGCCTTTACCTCACTGTCTTTAGGTTGCCGCTGTTGGATCCTTGGGGTTTCGGTTGATAGTAGAACACAATCGACTTGAGAATGGTCCAGGACGGACCGAAACGTCGTCGTCCCTTCACCTTCTAGTGTGTGGTCTGGTCAACTTACTTTAGCCACGTTATTGTGACTCATCGCCTGCGTAGATAGTAGTCTTTTAGTTGATTCTCTGTGTGGAGTGAGGAGTTTCGAGTTTACCTCCTAAGGGGGCATCAAAGGTGACAAAGCATATGCCAGACTGTGTTTATATGCTGCAAGGCAATTTTTTTTTCTGTCTACTGGTGACCTGTACCCTTCAAAGCTTTGAGCTTTTCTCCAGCATGGAAACATTGGGGGAAGAGCATACATACAGCACCAGTGCCATCATGGTTCATGAATTGGCAACTGCTAGAGCCAGTGCATCACCTATACAGATATCGAGATAAATTTTAGATGGTTTTTAGGTAATTTTATGGACTTGGGAGAAGGCCCTCTACACAAGCTGCATGGATTATAAAGGACTGATGTACATAACTATTTGGCAGATGTGTTATTCAATGTGTTTGTCGTAATAAAGTAGGCAACACAATTGGCTTTTTATTTTATCTATTTTTAATTATGCATTGGAGTTCTGCTTCATTATGAAGGGCTGAGTGTGTTTACATATGTCATAGAGGACTAAGATATCAATGATTTTGTTCATTTATTAAGCACCCCATACCCATCCTGCAAAGGATTAAAATGTACAGGTAACTTTATTTAAAAAAATATTTGTAAATGGATTCTTAAAAATATAACCCAACCTAACCCAGCCAAACCTGAACCTAGTTATATATACCTTTTTTAAATTTTGCCATGAATCAGGCTGTCAGTGTCACCCATGCAGTTACTGGCCAGCCACAGCCTTAACCCTTAATGCAGGAAGGCTTGACCCTTCCACTGCATGCTGCATCGAGAGATGTTATCAGTAAATATCTCTTTGCCATCAGGTCTTCTGCAGTTTTCTTTATTCCTGTTAACTCCTATGGTATACTTCTTACCTTCTCGCCTATTGCCTCACAATTTTGCCTTATATATATTGACTTTCTCTACCACTCTTTATATGACTTGATAATGGTCCAGGATAGACCAACGTTGTCATTTCATTTATTTTCAGATGTGTGGGTAGGGTGTCTAATGTTATTTTTTAGTGCTTGGTAAGATTTGCTTCGGTGTATGGCAGTATTAAATGCGTCGGTGATAATTCAGTCTTTTTTTTTTTTATCTCTCAACTCATTTTATATTTTAATATATAAGTGAAATGTGGTGAATCTGCAGTGAGTGAAATGATTCAGGTGCAACTATATTATAAGAGAAAAGTATTTGACTAATATACAGTATATAAGTAGAGATACAATAGCTTATTATGTAACTTGAATACACACTCGGAACTTAATCAAATGTTTATGCATCTTTCAGTAACAACTGTACAGTATTTAGTATTATAACAAACAAAATCTTCAGCTGCTTGATTCCATTCATCTTGAAAATGGCAGCTAAGCAAAGAAGCTCACGAAAGTCCCTCGGAAGTGTCAAGCAAGCTTCAAAGGCAGAAACCCAGAGCAAGTAGGTCTATAAGCTTTATATACTGTATTTTATTTTTCTTTAAACATTTTACATTGATAGTTGAAATCCCACTCAACCAAACATAGTCACTCAGTGAATATTGGATTTATCCCAGCAGCCTAGCAACAGTTTACAAAATATGTAGGTTATGATTAAGTCACTGGTCTCCAGACACTTAAGAAAGTTATTGATGTAATAAGGTTATACTGTAAATCAATGGAACCATCTGTGCATCAAAGCAGTAATGGCTAAGACGTGAAATTACTCCAGTTGAAAATCCAGTTGGAAAAAGTCTTCAGGAACAATGGGATCCATTGACAAGCCACCAGCTTCCTGTCCCCAGTGAGACCACTAGAGATATGGTGGCCCTCAGGTAAATTCAGTTAAAAAATTTTGTCACAGAAGTTTGATAAACTGATAATAGCCCTAGAGAATGATGCTAGAGAGGTGCTACCCAGTAAGAAGCATTATATTACACTTCACAAGAGTGTATTTTGTTAAGATGTTGGGAGAAATGTTAAGGTCATCTGGCACTGTAATGGTAGGTAAATTTTGTATACAAGATCAATACAATGAATTGATTAAGCATAGTAATGGCTGCGATACTTTGGTAAGATGATCTACTGTGTGATCATTGGATAAGTTTAAAGAAGATATTTGGAAGTATTATGAGTCCTACAAACTTAAAAGACAGGCTGTGAAAATAAAGAGCAGATGTGGCAAGTCATGAGGAGTGTTCTGTGGTGAAGGAGGGTATGTGGGGGAAGGTGTAAACCTCGCTCATTCAATCAACATTAGGAGTGTAGTGAAGAAGCTCTTCACTCTGGTGTGCCTTATTCAAGTTGATGGTATACATGTCATAAAGTAATGGAAAAGCATTGTATTTGAGTGAATAAAGATGGCTCTTTAAGAGCTTTCATTGTTTTCATTTGAAGTAAGTTAATAACAGTTGAACGCTGGTATTTACTTTTTTCAGTTCTGAAAGGGAAAGTACTCATCTTGGCCCTCGCATTGATTGGCGGCGTATTATTACTCGTCTGCTGATGATTGTTGGGATAATGGTTGTTGTATACTTCAGCAAAGCAAATAAGATGGTAAGTACAAATTTGACAGTATTCAGCAACTGATTACATAGTCTACCCTGCTTAGCACCTTCTTGTGATAATTACTTACTGTACTTTGTTTCTTGGCATTTTAGACCCAAGTGTTATGCCAGTTAGCATCAGTTTTCCTTGAAAGCAGTTCAGTATTATATAGTAAAATCTATTTACAGTCATGATTTTGCTTTTTGCTTTATTCTTGCTACAGCACCATCTGGCTAATCTACTAGGCACTGTAATAGGAATGGAGCATGTCATATCTCTTCTGATATACTGTTTCTTAACCCTGTGTATTAAGGCATGTATCAAGGCACTTGTTTCTCGGGTTCTGCATGGATTGGTTAAGATGAGTCACACTTCGGTGTGCCCTAAGGTGAATGATTTTCACTGGACTGCTAATGTGTGTGGCTCTGGGTAGATTACTTTATGGTGAACTTCCTCTCTACTGGCTGCTGTTCTGGAGTTCTCACTTCCTTGTTTACCTGTTCTGGGTGTGTGTGTTCTTAGCCTTTCAGCATCCCTTACAGAACAACTGAGATGTACCTTTCTCAGTAGTAGTCTTTGACTCTCATCATTCCTTGGTGACTTACTTTTCCTTTGCACAGGTTCCCTTCATTGATCATAAATATGGAAAGGCTCAGGTTAGAGAACCCAAAGTTGGGTGTAGTGCTGCTTGGGTGGCCTCTTTTTACCAGTTACCTGTGATGCACAGGGAGGGTGTGAGCAAGTGATCACTAATGTTCTCACAGCTGACTTGAAGTGGCATATTGCAGAGCAACTGCAAGTGCACCAAGTTGGGAAATCTCCCCTTGTATGCTCACCTTGTATGAAGCAGGTCCACAAAGTCTGTGTCCCTTAGTTCTGGATTAAAACCTAGCTTGTTTGGTATCTTTTGAGAGGCTATAATGCTAGCAGCATAATGATGCCACAACCACATTGTGTGTTTTAGCAGTGAAAAGATAGCACGAGCTTAGGATTTCTGTTATTATAAGCAATGCCAGGCATCAGCCATCTTGGAAAGCTACAGTCAGGAACATTCTGCCTTGGGCAATAGAGAAGGATTAGGTCAGATCATCATCACTGGTCGACTCGGTATCAGTGATGTTGCCATGACATCATGACCCATGTCACTTTGAATGGTCATACAGCAACCTACTATACTCATACATTTGGAGTAAAAGTAGTGTTCAGCAAATGTTATGTGTGAACCGAGAAGTGCCGCTTCAGAGAATCTGCATGTAAAGTGCCTTAAACACTTAAAGGAAAAACCAAGACTGTAGATGCCACTCTACATTTCCTTGCTTGAACCTTTATATAGCTGCTGTAGCCACCATGTGTGTTAACAGCTGCCAACTGCAACTGTGACCCAGTTCAGGTGCCAGCGACTCCTGTCCACCACATGACACTCGTCAATCTGTACACCTCACTCGGCACTTAGTGCAGTCCCTTAAGTATGTCTGCCAGCTTACTGCCACACATGTGATCTACATTTGATACCATGTGTGGTCATTGTGAAGGGAGCCAGCACTACTTCTGTGACATGGACTGCTGGACTTCAGTCCCTGTAGCACTGTCTGGTTTGTTTTCGACTCACAATCGAGAATTCCAGGTTTGAATCCTGGGCGAAACAGAAATGGTTGGACACATTTCCTATCGCCTAATGCGCCTCTTCACTTAGCACTATGTAGGTACTCAGGAGTTAGTCATCTTGTTATGGGGGTTGTATCCTGGAGAGGGTCAATAATTCAACTTTGGATGTGGTGGGGGGGGGGGTCGCACCACGATATAAGCCTAACATGTATAAATACACTCTAGCTGCCTGTCCCTAACACAATGAATTATTATAATTATTCATGTCATACCATGGGATGGATGAATGTGCAGACCAAGTGTTCAGACTTTCTGCAAACTGTTTGTACTAGTCATTATTATGAGAGTGTAAGGCTGGTTTGATGCAAACAATAAACTCTACTTTATTGTAACTCTACTTATCTATCTGCACGTTGATCCCCATAATCAGTCAGGTACTCACCATTCTGATCACCCACAACAGCTGTAGGCCAGAGTTACACAGACCTGACAATGAGCCAGGTGATTATCTGTTTTGGCATCGAGCATATCTCACCTGTAAGAGGGAATGTGTATCTTACACATATAACATGTTTAGATGTGTGCATGTTTTATTGCCTTGTCAGCTTGACAGGTCATTTGTGTGTTGATTGTGCATGCCATTATTTTGATTGCCCGAGTATCCAGTTTGGAACTTTGTGATTCCCTTGCAAACAGCAGTGTCAAGAAAGTTATGTTAGTGATTGGTTTGTCTAAGAAAGTGTTAAGACAGGATTGTTCATGAGTGGACCACGTAATCAATCTGTTAGAGGCATCCCAGTGTGTCTGATGTGTTAATAGCTTTGAATTAATTACCTAAAATAATGTAAACGCTCTATGCATTAGTATGCAAGTTTTGTCAATAAACGTTGTGAAATTTGACATTTGTATTTGTGCAAAATCCCCTCTAGTACTGCTACTCCCTTAGATGCCTTCAACACTGTATTCATTTCTCTCATAGTTGATTTAACTCTGAGTAGCTGTTGTTGAGCCATTATCCATATGTACAGCTGGTATATTGCACTCAACTGCAACTAGAAAAATAATATTTCACAGAGGGTTTGAAAGAGGATTTTTTAATTTCTATGAATGTCTCTCCCAGGGATTAAGGACTGAATTGAATGTTCTCTAGTGACTCCCTAGCAGCTAAAATTGCCCTGCAGAGACTGCTTGAACACTTCCAGTGGCACTGGTCCTAATACTACAAGTCGACCTGACTATAAGTTCCTGTCCTATATGCACAAAGAATATTACCTTAGGGGGCAACCAAATGATTCTGCTTGGAAAAGTATGTTTACTGTTCACTTAAAGACTTACTTTTCTCCAGGCTAATGCCTCCCACAACCTATTAAAGTTGAAAAAAGGGTAAGGATGATGACAAGGCATATGAACTGTTTATATTTTTGTTATTGATACATTTTGTTATTCTAAATTTAATACATTTAATATTATTTCATTTAAATTTAAAATTTAATTACAGGTTCCATTTGCTACTCAAGAGGAAGAGATTAGTAAACGTTCAGTAGAAATTCAGTGTTCAACGGATTATGCTGAGGAGCTCAGGCATTTTCAAGGTAGGTCCATTGGGTTTCATAATACCAGTACTGTACTGTACTGTACATTTAATAATTTAAAATGAAAATCTGGTGTGTAGTGAAATGAATACAATAAGAATGGAAATATCATTGAAAGATTTGGAGTGTAAGAGTCAATAAATAGTAAGATTGAGAAGAGAATACTGTACAGTACTTAGGTTGTTTGGTCATGTTGAATGATGAATGAAAAGTGAAGAGCATATTGCCGTGAATTTGTGAGTAGTGGCTCCAATGTCCTGTTATTGTTTGGTGTCCTGTTTGGCTAGCTGCCTTTAGGCCTGGTAATTTCCCTGTGGGTCTCGGCATAGTTAGTTATGGATTGGTCCACCAAGCTAGTGCTTGCTTGATGCAAGCTCAAAGGGTGCATATCATCCTTGCTACAAGACGATTATCATACTTTCTGCCTCCACCATGCTGCCTACTGAGTCAATAACACCTATGACCTGGAGTCCTGTGAGGGTTTACTCTCATGTGATCTCTGCCTTAACTGATGTGGTTTCGAGTTTGGAAGCTTATCAGGCAGCTGTCGCTTTACAGGAGCGGTTTGCCTGGGTTAGATATTTGCAGCATTGTGATGGGATGCACTGGACTTGGCCCCCCCTATGGTGTTTAGGGATCTGGAATTAGAGGTGTTAATGACCTCCACTCAAGGATAGCCCAGTGCTAATGATGTGGGCCATTGGCAGCACCATTTGCTGTTTGCCTGTGCTGTTTGGCGCTCTTATCATGGATGACCACTGAGCGCCTGCATCCTTGACAGCAGTCTTTCCTCTTTAGGTCCCCTTGGAGGGGCTTTCTGGGCTACTCTGTGAGGATGTGGCTTTGCTTGGTTCTGCCCCTAGTGTGGAGGCCTTGTTGCCTGCGGTTCCAGTCCTGGCCCCCTTGCCCATGATGCTCACTCTTCTCCTTCAGGAGGGGATAGCGGTGTTTTACTTTGCGTGTAGACAGACCATGTTGTTCTATTTAGTAGATTCGGCTTGGTTCCTTACTACCGCTTCTCTCAACTCTTCTTTCCTGAGGATGCCGTGTTCTGGACTTTGTCAGCTGTGGCCTTTTCTTATCGGCTTATTGACTAAGTATGTTTCTGGCATTCTGCTCTCACTTGTCAGAGGTGATCTCGTAGAGTTGGAGCCTCGACTGTTGTTGGTTGGAGTAGGCCCTCTTGAGGTGTCTGCTTCATGGGTCATTGATCTTCCTGCTGCGAGTTGTTCTGCTCAACATCGTAACTATGCATCATGGAAGGATGGTTCTACGCGTGGCTTCTGCTGACCATTTCACCCTTTGACTCTACTCTGGTTGGGAGTCTGGCCCATATTGCCAGCTCCTAGCATTTGTGAGCTCGTGATGTCTTTTTTAAAGGCAGTGTTCTTGTTAGCCTTTGCCTGTGGCTGCTGTGTATGTGATGTTCATGCACCTCTCCAGAGGTGGGAGATTTGTTCATTTGCAGCCTTCTTTTCTGGCAAAGAATGAGTCGGCTAGCTTCTGGAGGGGTCCTACGATTATTGCTCAACTGAAGATGCTCCTGATCGTATCTCACAGGAGAGCTTTACCTCTAGGGGCAACCAAATGAATCTGTGCAGAATTTTTTTCTTATTTGGGTGTTATTTTTTTCAGGATGTACCCCCAAAAAATGTGGTCGTGTTGTTTTTGACACATTGGTAACACCCTCTGAAGTAGCAGCTCTTGTGAACATTGGTGAGCGCGGACTGTCACTGGGAGGCTCGGCAGGTGGTGCCTCCATTCTTGACTTGCATTCTGGTGCGCTTTCACATGGCAATGCTTTTGTCAATATCTTCAAATTAGAAGAAGCTAAAAATCTGTTCACTGTTCAAGATTTCAAGATATATAGGTATGTTAACATGTAACAACTTTCAACACACTTGGAATTTACAATTTATTTAAATGAAGTTAATGTATTTGATTCTGCTTAGAGTACCAAACTTAGTATCATAACTGATAACAAGATTTGCATCAGTCATACATAAGTGAAATTTTTCTATTGTTTACTAATTGGACTTTGCTTGTACATGAGCCAAGTCCAACCCTCTATTCTTGAGTCCATTTGGAACCTCTGGTTGTGAGTTTGTCATATTGGTACTGTACTGCCATGTATTTACTCTACATGTCTATTTACTCTCATATCATTTTTCTTAGGAACTCACTTTGTTGCTCTTTCAAATATGTGTCTACTCTAAGTGGGAACTGTAACATTCAGTCAAGTAGGATCATTGGTACTGTACTGGCGAGTACTGGAGAGTACTGGAGAGAGAGAGAGAATTATCAGGGTAAAGTGCCAAGCCATTATGACCATATAGCACTGGGAAGGAGTCAGGATAAGGACTTGGGATGGGACAGGGGGAAGGAATGGTGTCCAACCACTTGGACAGTCGGGTATTAAATGCCGACCTGCATGAAGGAGATCGTCGCTCTACCATCCAACACAAGTGGCTGGACAGTAGAATGTCCATTTTCTCCAGTGGTCCAGCGAGAAGTGGAGAAAACCATTCATGTGAAATGACTACTAGGAGTCCCAATTCATGTAAACTAAATATTCTTTCAAGTACTCTTTGACATGTAAAGAGTCTTCTAGCTAACAGCGAGTTAATCTGCCTCACCAACTATGCTGACTGCCACCAGGCAGTGGCACCCTAAACCACACTTCCTTTCCCACCAAGACACCACCTCGTGTTGTTTGTCATTTTTGTACCTATCATATTCATAGGTAAGGCATGCAAAGAGAGGCCTTTTCATTGTCCCACGTATTACTCCATTTCTCAATTTCTTGGGGTTAGAAAGGCATCATCCTTGAACAAATGGGGAGCTGTATACAAAAAAGGGTTATTTATTATAAAAATTATAGTTGTACTGTACCTTCATATTTTCCACACTGCACAGCATCAGCAAGGACCAGCGCTTCAATCATTAAGGTCCCAAGTTGTAATAAAAATTAACCTTGAAAGGTTATTCGGAGTAAGGATACCAGTTTGCTATTCCAGTCTTCCTTCTCAAACTAGGATAATCAACATGAATTGTGCTCAGACAGATTTGACAGCAATTTCAATTTTTTTCAGTCATGTGAAGAATAAGATTCACGGTGCCATTGCAGACCATTTTGGCATTAACAGAAGTGGACTGTATCTCACACATCCCACATTTTTTTCACGAATTACTCCTGCTCCTCCACAGACAATTCACGATGAGTACTGGCATCCTCATGTTGATAAGGTAATTATTATTTTGTATATATATTCTTTTCCTTAACAGTTCACAGAACACACACGCACACATATATATATATATATATATATATAGCACCTTTCCTTAACATATATTTTCATCTTATTAAGAATAATGTGTATTTATGGTTCCATGTACAATTCCCCATTCACAAGTCATTGTATTGTACATGCACTTCAGTATATCATTAGTAAAGGTAGTCATTCAGAGCTGGAGCACTTGGTAGTTTCTTTAAGCCATGTCCTCCTGCTCTTTCCTGGGCTGGAATAAATACATTTAGGAGAGCATTTTGCCTTATTCCAACTAAATAGTTTATAAAGTCCCATTAGGGTCATTCTGGAGCAAGGGAGCCATTTGCCTGAGGAACCCAGAGGTGTCCTCCAGGAAGGTTTATTTATCTACTGAACACAAAACCTGACTGGCCTTTGATATGTGGTGACTCTTCAACATTCACCACATATCAGCACCTATACATCAACATAACAAGCTGTTTACCTCTCCTGAAATAAAATTAGACTGGTGGAAACCACTTTTAATCAGTTGAGTGACTTGTTCATCCTTGGAAACGGTAGTTTCACTGTGCAGTCGGCTGCGTTCTATTTGTGGATGCTTGACTTGTGTGTGATTGCACAATTGTTGCATGTATCTGGACCCTGTGATTTGGGGGTGATGCAGAGTATCTTCTCTTTGGCAGTTCAGTTCCTTAGTAGTGGTGATTCTCTTGAGTTCTAAACATCTGGCCGCCTTCAGAACAGGAAAGTGGGCCTTGTGGGAAGAGAAGAAAATGAGGCAAAGAAACATTGCCTCCTTCAATAGGTCTAAATTCATCAAAAATATCTTGTTCTGGTTCAACACTCTCTTGACTTTTATGAGTTATATAATGATGAATGGTAGTTATGAAAAGAGCATACAGCTCATTATTCTTGATGTAAATCAAATGAGAAGAAACTACACAAAAAATACAGTATAACAAAAAGGGACAGAATAATTTTTTCTTCTGAAATGCATAAAATTCCTTAGTGAGTATGCTTATTACTTGTATTTATGATGATCTGTACTTAAAAGAGATCTTCATGAACTCCACAAATGATCTAAAGACTGGCAAATGCAGTTTAAGATTGAAGACTGCAAGATCTTAAATGTAGGGCATAACATTGCACATTACCACTATCGAATCAACTACACTACCATGTAGCAGATTGAAGTAGAAGAAAAAGACCCAGGAGTCAGAATCCACTATCATTGAAAGTTGCACATCAAGTGGGAACTGCAGCCAACCAAGTCCTAGGAATAATCAAACGAACCTTTGACTTCAAGAATAAGAATGTGGTTATTTAACTGTGCAAATTTTTGGTGAACCCTCGTTTGGATTACTGTATCCAAGCATGGAAATTTCATCTTCAGATGGGGCATATCTGCTTTGAAGAAAGTACAGTGCAGAATGACAAAAATCATCCTAGAACTAAGTCGACTCGCTTACCAGGAACAGTTGAGGGCCACCAAATTAACAACACTGCAAACCAGACATGGCAGGGCAAATCTCATAGGAACTTGTAAAATATTGAACAAATTGAAGGATATTAATCCCGACCACTTCATTAAAAGGTCACGTATAACACATTCAAGGGGCAACAGCTTCAATCTCGAGCCACAATGTAGGAGAGAAAACGTAAGTTTTTTTTCATCTCTCTATATCTATAAGAGAGAATGTGTGTGTGTGTCTGTCCAAGTTTGGAGACTAAATGCTTGGGACTTGCAACACCAAACTTTGCAGGGTGAATGGCTGGGGTATAGAAGACATAGGCTGGTTAGGGTTGGTTTAAAAACACTGGAAAATATATATACAATACCACCAGATATGCAGTTAAATATATTGCTGTATCTTATTAACATAAGATTTGACAACCCTGTTAATAGGACACACCACTTGTCAATAAAGTTAACTGCGGGCTGCCACCACCACCGTTTAACGAGCTGTTAATTATACGTTTCATGAATTACAGTATTCCGAGATCTTTTGATAATTACTTGTCATTGGCTTTCGAGGAGGTCAATCATTTTAAATGAAACTGTTTGACTCAGGTTACCATGGTATTGATATTTGACTGGTAACCTATGCAGATTGTCTCATAATTAATGTGAGAAGGAATTAATAAGATATTCAAAGGAAAATCATTACTAACCACAAGAGATGTTCAGGGGCCTTAGCATACATACCCACTATTATGACAACTAGGGGGGCGAAGGCCACTGATAGTCATGCAACTGAATTATCGAATAAGTTTGTTAGTAATGCAATTCCTCTCCTAACTCAGGTGTTCCCTAATAGAAAATGGAATTGTCAATGTTCTTTGTGGTTTGAACATGGAGACAGGCACTCATATTTGATGTGGCTGATGTAATCCAAGATCATCTGCTGGATTGCATCATTTCATTACATCACATCACCTGTTGGGTTACATCATTACATTACATTATATCACCTGTTGGATTACTGGTGTCTGCACCAGTTGCACCAGTAAAGAACCTACACACTCCCTGCTCAAGACTCGGGAGACTGCTTTTTTACTGCCTAAAACCAGCCCCCTTACCCTTGGCATGAGAGACAACTAGGCCTAAACAGTGACCAATACCTGAGCATGGCTACATCTTTAGGGTAGCATTTCCTTCAGGCCTCTACAATTTGAGGCATGGCCTTTCAGTGATAGACTGTTTTCTAACGAGGAGTTTGTCTTGAATTCTGACTGGAAGAGTGTTGCCTCAAGGTCCCAGCTAACCATTAATCTTATCTGGCTATTTGAGATCACAAGGCCTCCTGAGAGAGCTTGGTTCTCTCTTAGACATGTGAGCCATGTAGGATGATCATTTCACAGTTCATTGACTCTGACCCTGTGGTTGGGGAAACATGTAATTCCAAGAAGTGTTATCCAGCCATGTATCACACTGTCAACTGTATTGCCCTAAACCCCTCACTCAGGAGCTCAAGGGGGTTCTTAACCTTTGGCCACCGAGAGCTTCACAACCTCCAGTATCTAACCCCAGAAATGGACATCCCTCGCAGGAGGTCCACCAAGTAAACAACTGAAAGAAAAGGGAGGATTCGAATGAGGGAAACCTATTCATAAGAACATAAGAATGAAGGTTAATGCAGAAGGCCTATTGGCCCGTATGAGGCAGCTCTTATTTATATCCACCCAATCTCATTCATCTATATGTCTAACCTACTCTTGAAACAATTGAGGGATCCTACTTCTATTATGTTACACGGCAATTGATTCCACAAATCAACAACCCTGTTACCGTACCAGTATTGGTTCAGTAAAAGTAAAATTTAGTAATTAAGTTCAGTAGAAAATACATGACTCACATTATCAGGCAAACCAACTTCAGTTTGATTGTTAACAGTAAATTCTTTTATTTGGTCTTGGTATATTTGCTTCATAGATTTAGACCACAAATATTGTGACAGTATATTCTAGTTGGGGTTGACTCCACAGGTAAGCAAATCAAAATAATTTTTAATAAATTTATTTAAACAATTTTCAGGTGACATATGAGTCATTTCATTACACGTCTTTGCTGTACCTGGCAGACTATGGACACGATTTTGAGGGTGGTCGATTTATCTTCATGGACAAGGACTCAAATAAAACAGTGGAGCCTCGTTCAGGTAGGATGTGGCTCCTCTATTGAGGGGCCCATGTTTTGACCTCTGGTTCCCAGTAGGCTTACAGTAACTGCAAGGCTTAGCATAGATTGAATTATGTGGAGTTATGCTGCTACAGGGATAACTCCATGTAAAGTATTAGATATCAATATAGGCATCTTTACAGCAGTCAGATTATAAACAGTTACCCCTGCCATCAATAGATGGCTCTGAGGCTGAAATGAACTACTGTAAGAATGATGCTAAGGTTAAGCTCCTGGCTGGAGAAATTTAAAACTAAAATTTGTCTTGCCAATTTCGAATATTCAGCATTTGTAAGATGTCCATATCTCAAAAAGTCAACCCGTCCTCCAGTTTAGATTGCAATTTTTGTAACTACAGTATGTGGACCATCATACATACACAGACATAATTGACAAATAGATAGTAAAATTTTGTGCTATTCACTTCATAGAGTTAGAAAAATGAAGGTAAAAAAAAATTCTAGGCCTTGTATAGAACATATATGTACTGTAGTATATTAGGTATCATGTAGCATGGATTAGGCCTAGGAAGGTTAGGTTAGGTTGGGTTAAGTTTTCTTTATACAAAATACAAAACCTCTTTTGGTTTGTTCAAATTTAGTAGTACAGATTTCTATTTTATAATTGCCTTTTACATCAATATATGTACAATGGTTCTCATCGTTACTGTAATTACTACCTAAACAGGAGAATGCGCTGCAAAAAGCACATCATAAACTGAGAAGTAAGACTGCTAATAAATGGTTCCCAGACCTAAACTTTGAGCTGTTATGAGAGTCTGAAAGGGCTAAACATGCTAAAACTAGCAGGCAGAAGAAAGGTAATATGATCTTCAAATACAAGATTGTGACAGGAATCAAAAAAATTTATAAGCATGTGTTTTTTAATTTGCAACATTGAGAATAAGAGGCTATTACTTTAAGCTAGAAAAACAAAGGTGCCAAAAAACTAGCATTGAATGTAATGAAACGGCATTTTCTGGGTGAGTCCTGGAGGCTCCCCGGAGCTATCCAGGCTGAATGGATATACAGTATATAACTTTCTGGCATCAGTCAATGTGCAAGGAGTTCTTGCCTACCGGGAACCATGAACCAGAACTTGGCCCCCCCCTCAGAGAGACACGAGGAGCAATGGCCTGTAGAAACCCCGGTGTGGTTGGGAGCAGTCTATGTCTGCTATCAACCGGATCTGGCACCCAGAAAGGTAGGCACCACGAAACAAACCCCTCTTCTGGTCAAACTATTGCTACCGAAAGCCGAACGAGTGGACAACTCCCCAAAGGAAAATTAGCAAACGAGCATGACTTCTTCATGTTGCCGCACCCCTGTTTGCGCAATCCCCCCTCCCCGGGAGGTGGTTGACAGAGTCCCACACAAGAGGTTCTGGAAACTGGAACATGCTGGAGGTTGACAGGAAAACCTCTGACATGAATGAAAATTTTCTAACTGACAGATAGATGAGTGCAGTAATCAGAATGTGATGTCTCACTTCAGACAAGTGTTACAATCTAGGAAAAAACAAAGTGTCACTAAACAGGTTTTTAGTGAGACAAACAAGCAGTGAGCCACAAGCAGGTCCTAATGGTATGCAGACAAGATGTGCCAGAGAGTGTACCCCAGAGAAGTCATCAATGCCTGATGTTATAATGGAAGGGGACTCCCCTTCCAAACACTAACACCTCTTCTCCTCGCCCCTCCTCACTGTCTTCCATATGCCAACAAGAGTCATCAGTAAAGGTAAGTAATAACTTGTACATACTTTAGTTCAAGTTTAGTAGATTTGGGTGAATTACGTATAAAATTTACTTTGAAGTTAATTTTTGGAGGAGTCTGGAATGGATTAATTCAATTTACATTATTTTTTATGGGGAAATTCGCTTCATTTTACGAATATTTGGCTTACAAGCCGTCTCTGGGAATGGATTAAATTCATAAGCTGAGGAACCACTGTACATAGATGGTGAAATATTAAAGATTTCATGACTTGCGAGACCAAAATTTGATTATGAAGCAGTAGTATGGTGCTCATATCTGAAGAAGCATTTAAATAAACTGGAAAAAATGCAAAGGCATGCTACAAAATGGCTTCCAGATCTGAAAAACAAGAGTTTCGTGGAGAGGCTAGAGTTTATTTATTTTGGCATATATGTCAATATGACAAAACTAGAAGATGGAAGGAAAAGAGGTAATATGATCACCACTTACAAAATAACAGGAATTGACCAAATTGAAAGGAATTCCTGGAACCAGCAACTTCAGGAACAAGAGGACACAGATTCAAGCTAAGGAAACAAAGGTGCCAAAAAAAGTAGACAGTTTTATTTTGCAAACCGAGTGGTAGACGGTTGGAACAAGCTAAGTGAGAAGGTGATGGAGGCCAAAACTATCAGTAGTTTCAAAGCATTATACAACAAAGAGTACTGGGAAGACGTGACACCACGAGCGTAGCTCTCATCCTCCTGTAACTACACTTAGGTAATTACTGTACTATTATTCTCACTCACTCAAACTCTCTTGTTAGTGCAAGTTCATGGTAGAAGCTGCTGTTGAACAATGGCTGAACTATTATGGTAGTACATAGAATTCTTTGGTATGTGCTTCGGGTGATCTTTCAGTGCATTTTTTTTTATGCATGAACAACTCAAATGTGTACTGGGAGATTTTAGATCTGAGCATTGACTATCCTTTCATGGATAAAAAGATTTTAGATCTGTCCATCATCTCCTACTTGGAGAGGTTCTAAACATTAAGGATGCATAGCTCCCAGAGGAAGTATTATATTCAGGATAGAGACATGTAAATTAATATTTAATCTTAAGTCAAATTTTTATCATACAGTTTATACATAGTAACAGTCTGTATATCTCATCAGGACGAGTGTCGGCTTTCACCTCAGGATCAGAGAATTTACACTACGTTGAAAGAGTGACAAGTGGAACAAGGTTTGCAATCACAGTTTCCTTCACCTGTGACCCCAAACATGCCATTAATGATCCGACGTTACACAAGTGATTTGTATATGTACTTACATACTTTCAACATTTAAAAATCTCTAAAGATTACTGGAAAACCACCTTCAGTAGCTTCTCGAGCTAATCACTGGCCCAGTCAAACCTTGGGGAGATGCACCAAGCATCTGAAACTTGCCCTTGCCTTCCAAAAGCCAAGACCAGAATCTAGCTCTACGAGGCAAGAGGAGCTTTGAAATCAGATATCAACCAAAAACTGAGAAAAGTCACCAGAAAGAATACACACAACAAAACAAACCACTGCTAGTAGAAAATTAGATACCTTCAAGTAATAAGGCAAATTATCATTGCCGTGGTGTAAACACCCTAACTGTGATGTGCCTGACTACCACCAGGTGGTAATCTAGGTGGTCCGGAGTACCAGTCAGGCCCCCAACCCCACCTTCACTCATAAACTACTCAAACCAAACCCATTCAACCCACAGACAGGAACAAAACAGGGTGCTACTGAGGAACCCCCCCCCTTTCCCCCACCCCCCAAAAAATAGGTGTTTGATTACATTCAAGGCTTAATTTCATGTAGGGGGGTCCCTCAATAGCTCCTTGAGCTAACTCACAACAACAGGACCTCTGCTGCAGAGGTCTGCATTTTTTTAAATAAATGTACCAGTAAACAAAAAAGACAGCAAGGCCAAGGAGCACCCAAGGCAGAGATGGACCACACTGAACAAGCCGAGCCTAAACAGCAGTTAAATGGCCAGGACACAGCAAAGGAGTTCAGACCAACATCTGGCTTAAACTAAAATGCTCAGAGGTATGCCTTGTGACTTAGACAGTGCTGCAGTCTTCCTGGCTTGGGGCCTTCTTTGATAATTACTTACTTGCCCAGAGGAATACTAGAATCCCATACCTCTACCTTCTGGTGGTAGTTTAGCGCATCAAGGTTATGGTGTTACACCATGGCAACGAATGTTTGCCTTGTTACCAGGCTGTACCTGATTTTTTTCAAGCAGTGGCTTGTTTTGTTACACTTTGTTTACCTGTTTTTATCCATCTGGGGTTAATCTTCAATTTTCAAGCTTCCCTTTACCTCATAGAAAGAGTGAGATTCTGGTCGTGGCTCGTAGTAAGCAAGAGTGGGCCTCAGAGGTCAGGTGCATCTCCCTAAAGTTTGGCTGAACCGGCGCTTAGCTCGGGGGCGCTACTGAGGACCCCTGATAGAAATGGGAATTTCATTGCACTGAATGCTTAATTTGTAATACAAAATACTGTATGAAGTGTCCTTTTATATCATATCTTGAATAGGTTGAGATTTGATAGTTTAAAAATATAATATATCCAGCTGCTGATTTTATTCTGCCCATAGCTAGTTTGTCGCTATTATAAAGAATATAATGTTGCTTTATGGCAACACAATTACCTTAGATCTATTTATCTAAGGATATATAGATCTCTCCTTTTTAATTTGTATACATTCCAAACATTAAATTGTAGCTTTTACTTTTACCATTTTTAACTCTTTGATAGTAAGTACAGTAATAGTCATAACCTCGGTTGTTGGATTTCAGTTGATCGGTTCATATAGACTCTAACTACTATGTTAACTCCTGAAGCTAATGTTGAGCAATGCCTAAACTATTATGGTAGATAGAATTCTTTGGTAAACGCTTCAGGTGATCCTTCGGTCCATTTTTGTTTATGCATGAACGACACATGTGTCCTGGGAGATTTTATATCTGGGCATTGACTATCCTCTCATGGATAGAAAGATTTTAGGTCTGTCCACCATCTCTTGCTTGGGGAGGTTCTAAACATAACCACCCCATTAACGTATGCCAGGATGTTTTATTCATTGTTATTCTTGTATTTGACACTGTCAGTATATATAATGAAAGACTTGAATAATATACAGTACTATACATTATCATCTTGTGAGGTAGTTTTCGCATGTATGATAAAGTGCAGCACGTGTTACTATGTGGTTTTTCCATACTTGGAGATGAGCAGTAAAGTAGACCAAAGTAAAAAGCAGTAAAGTAAACCTTAAAAGTAAACCATTAGGATTATCAAGGCTCCCCTAAGTCAACTAATGACCTTCTCCAGGATGTGACCCACAGAAGTTGTCTAACTTCCAGCTACCTGTTTACTGCTAAATAAACAAAGGCAGCAGGTGAAAGGTAACATGGCCCAAACACTTCTGGCCTACCATAGGAATTAAACCCGGAACCTTTCTGCTGTAAACCGTCCACATTGACCGCTGTGCCAATTCAGTCTCGGCTCTAAACAGATACCTAAGAAGCAATAGCAAAGAGTAACACAACTTCAAACAATTTTCCCCAAATCCTTTGCATATACATCTTTTACATGAATTAAGAAATTTACAAGGCCTTGGCTCATATGAGACAGCTCCTGTTTATATCATGGACTTAAATAGGAGCTGCCTTGTGTTGGCCAATAGGCCCATACATGAATGAATTTGGGAGGATATCAATAATTTGCAGCTACTGTTTATATCCAAAATTCATATACTGGATTTGGGCCTATTGGGCCACATATCCTCTTAAACTCATATATAGAATTATTAGTTCATAGAGGGCAGCTTCTATTTATATTTATAATATAAATAGGGGCAGCCTCATATTGGCCAGTTGGCCACTTTCAGTTTCCTTCATTCTTAATGAAGCATCCATTCACTGATACTGTCTTATGTTCATTGGTACATTCATTAATACATACATTGATTCATTCATATCAATAAATTAACACATTCATTCATTCATTGATATATTCATACATTCTGTTTTTTAAACATCAAAGGTTAACACTGAGAGTGGCTGGTTGGGCAGTGTGCATGTGTTGTTAACAGCGTGTACCGACATCAACAGATAGGGTTATGCTGCCACACAATCAGCTTGTACAGTGGACGAAACCAGTTACAACGTAGATATTATGTTATTTAAAATTTTCATTACATTTTGCGTCCAAATGAATAATTTTGAAAGGAAAAATATATTTTTGGATAGGCAGTTATGCGTGTAATTACCTAAGCCGTGTGGTAGGGGATTAGAAATTTCTATAAATATTAAAGTACTGTATAATCAAATTTAATTTAAAAAATAAAAGTAGCCTTGGTAGCATAATGTTTATACAGAACAAATATTAATATTTCTTCTTATTAATGTGTGACATATTACTGCATAGAAATCTTTGTTTCAGATTAAAAGCAGCGGCTCAAATAAAATATACAAAAATTGTTTGCTATTTCTAGTTAGAAATTTAAATGCAATGCACAAATTTATGCACAAATTGCAGTTTATGCAACAATTTGCTATTCACTTAACATAAGAATTTAGGAAACTAGTAAAGGGCTGTTTGACCATCTAACCTTCACTTGAAACAATCAAGCAATCCCATGTCTGTCATATTATAAAGTAAACTGTTTCCTAAATGAACAAATCTGTTTCCAAATTAGCATATTCCCATATCTTGTTTTAGTCTAAATTTATCAAATCTGTATCCTGGATTTACCCATAGTATATATATCGAGCTCTGTCTCCTAAAACTAAAGGTAGTACAAATAAGTATGATGCTGTATAATCAAATGTTGGCCTTAAAATTACAGTACTGTACTGTACTGTAATTATCAGTAAATTCCATATGACAGTGAAAATACAGTAAATTACTGTCTAAATAGCTACAGTATTTTACTTTATATTTCTTCTTGATTATGTATAAGCTTAATGCAAGCAAAAAGAAAAAAGTTGTCTTTTGGTATTGAGTACTTTAATTCTGGAATCATCTGTTTAATATGAAAGAAGTGTGTAATTTTGTTCACGCGTGTGTGATTTGTGTGGATGACCAGAGAAGTTGATAATAAAACACAGGCTAACAAAAACAGTAGGTAAATTGCCAATATAGTACAAGCTGGAGTGGACATTGGAGTTAACATCCATGGCCAACGACAAAAACATTGATGACCAATGTACATAGTTAGGAGATGATCGAGGCAACAGATGTCCCATGGAGGTTCAAGGTGTTGACAAGCGTTACTGGAGGAAGTTAATCTGGTGGAAGAGCTAATATTTTGATCGTGCTAACCCTATGTATAGTCATTGTGGGAGCGTAGTCCTAACAATGCAGGGTCGTCTTTGAGATTGAGATTGGCTGACTGCAGGGTCAGAGGGTGTACCTCCAGCTCCCCACCTTCAGAAGGTGGGGAGCTGGGAGTACCAGTGTATGTGGCAGAGTATATTCAGCTCTTCCTGTTGTGTGACTAAAGAGTCCAAATTTGTAAGCATTTACAATACCTTTACAGATTTTATCTACTGTATTGGCCACTATCTTTATGCCTGTGGTGGCAATAGAAAGCTCTGATATTGACCTAACTGAAAGGCCTAATCTAAGAGTGAATTGCCTTATTACCAGATCTCTCTCTCTTTCTCTTTGTACTGTATTTTGGGTATTTGCTTTTACCTACATAAATACAGTATTTTATTGTAACTGCATACTGTACTTTATATCAGTGCGTAATGAAATCAAGTTGGCAAAAGTAGTGTATTCAATTTTTAGAAATTTTACCGAGAGTTTAATAAAAGAACATAATGTAAAGACGAGATGATGCTATAAATTTGCTTGGTGATAGTTATGTACACTGAAATGCATGGAGCCTGTCTCTGCTTTTATGTGAATAGTAGTTTTGTTTCTTATCAGAAGCAAAGCATCTATTTAACGGGCTGTTAAGGTAGTTAATATTATATTGGGATTTTTTTATATATAATAATTATACTGTACTGCATACAGTACTGTGTATACATTCCATCTTAACATTTACTTTTAAGCTTCTCAGGAGTAAGCAGTAGACTACTGTATTTTCAACACAGTATATATTTAGTATTATTTCAGGCAAAGAATGTTATACGTTCTGTTAACATGTTATCCATATTATATTTCTGAAATTAACATACCTGATTATTTATTAAGCTGAAATAAAACTAGATATATGTCAGGATGTTGCTAGGCGTGTAATGAATACAATACAGTACACTAAAACCTTGCTGAATTGCACTACCTGTAATCTATGGCCTCAGTAAATTTATGGTGATATAGTCATAATGACTTGGTGCTTTCTCCTGATAATTATCTTACGTTACCTCCTTTTATGAAGACAAAGCACTCAGACTAGGGTGAAGCATAGGTATGCCTTCCAAACTCTATGCAAATCAAGTTGCGCTTCTGGTCGAGATAGGTTTTACGCCATCATGGTGCAGTTGGTAGGTTGTGTGCATAATGAGTTCATGAATGCACGTTTGATCCCATCATACGGCTTCAATATTTTCTTCAGAGTTTTCATTTTACAGTCGAAACAGTAAAAGTTACATTCTAGTGGTAGAAAATCTACAGTAGGCTACAGAAACACTTTAGAGGTTTAATGTATTCGGTATTACCTACAAGTTACTGTGAGTGCAATATGTTCTATTTTGTATACATGTTTGTTTATTTGATGTGTTGAGTGATATTTAAGAATAAGTAGGCCCATAGGGGGAAACAAAGCTTGTATTACAACCTGTCTTTGCTGTGATACACAAACCTCTGTACCAATTAGTGAGGTGTAAAGAGGTTTAACTCTATTTTAAGTTTTGTCTAACTTAAATACAACTAATTTTAATTTAACCAGAATTTTAAGAAATTGATTAATTAATATTGAAAATAATCAATATATCTGTTAGCATCTGTTATACTTCTGTCTCGTTAATTAATTGGTTTACTCTAATACTTGATTATCAAAGTACTGTATTACTGTACTCAAATATATAACTAAAACTTAAGTTGTTTGCTGGTTATCTTGAATAATTTAATAAATAAAATTATAACAAAATATAAGACAATTTCTTTACAGATGTTAGTATATTCTGCCAATCTTTTTTTTTTTCTCATGTGAAATTAAGCAGTTCATTCGCTCATTCTACCTTTGTATTTTATTTCAGCTTACTAAGTTGAAAGAATAGTCTTCCATAGTACAAATTTAATATTATTACTTTGCAACAGAATATTGATAGTAAAAAATATATAAAGTTGGCTCTTAGTCTGCACAAGGATTACATTGATGAAGGATGCTATTCAGAGTGAATTTGCTCACTGAAGTTTACTTTAAAAATTAGTTTATTTTTCAGATACAATACCTCCAAAACCACACTTTTGTCATAATGAAACAATTGTTCCCATGTGTGGTGTTAGGATCAGACTGATCCACTGATTTTTCAGTGTCTGTTCATGGTGTCATGTCCAGTGTGTTATCAGTTGACATCAAGCTAGCAGGATTTTTTTTTTTACTTCACCTTTAATTGAACCATAGAAGTTATGGTGATTACAATTGTGGAGGACAGTTGCTCCATGTCACTAGCATCCTGGAAACTCCATTAAATTAAATTCCCATCAAGCCCATGCATTGTAAGCCTATAAGGGACAAATAAGGCCAAATCTAGACCCATTTATAGAGGTGCAGAGAGCTGAGGATACTAAATCGCTCAAACCGAGAAAGACAACCAAAAAAGGTAGAATGAAACAAAACAAATCGGTAAAAATGATCCACCCAGGAGTTAGGTTGGTTTCTCTCTCTAGTAGCACTTCTTCACTAGCAGGAGGGTATCACCTCCAGCTTCTGGCTCACCTCGAACAACTCGACGGTCATTAAACCTGATGCGGCTGTGTAAATGTCTTATCCACTAGTCCTTTCAGGTCTTAGTTTTTCACACAAGTGAAGGCCATCCTTCAGACTGGCCTGAGAGGGGCCCTATTTTCTTATGTTCTTGTTCCTTCATTTTGTATTTGCTTCACTTGTGGGTTTGTAAGAGCACTGCTTGTGAGGTACAGAAACTTTCCCTTCATGCTGCATATGTCTAGTTTCCCTTCTCTAGGTGTTCACTGGTGCTGTCCCTTTGTCCCTACCCTGAGGGAGTTACCATCCCAGTTGGGTATGGGTGACCATCCCTAAGAAGCTGTCCTGTGGAAGGAGCCTTGCCTCAAATTCATTAGTACACAGGTCTTCAACTCCTCTGCAAGTCTCATACATTCAGGGTTGTCGGTGTTTTACCTCCTTGAGTAGCACAGGGAGTATTTGTACTTTTTTACAGTGAGCCACTTACCCCTTTTTCAGCCGCCTTTGCAACCCGTCCTCACATAATACACCGCATTTTGACATAAAAATCCCCAACAACCAAATACACGGGTGCTGCAAATTGTAGCGGCTTTCAAACATTAATGTTTTCTATACATGGGTCAGTGGGTTAGGTTAGGTTTGAACATTTTAGTACACCATTTTCTGTCCATTGTAGCAGCTAGAGAGGATGGGTTGGTCTATGCCCCTAGGCTGCATTCAGCCTTTACTGTACTATCCTTGGCAAGCTACCCCTTTGCCCAGTGTTCTTGCTTGGTCTGTATTTTTAAAATCTGACAAGCCCTTAGCATTCTTGGGTAAAGTTTGGCATGGTTCTCTGAGCACACTTGCAGGGATGCAAATTTGAAGGACATTCCTTGGTTTTATTACATCCAATAACCATCTTTGCTGCATGTTGTGGGGGGGGGGAAGCTTTCCACCCTGAAGCCCACAACATGTGTGTCCATTCACTGTATTGGCTGTGCCTCAGTCTCTCAACTCTGCCTTTCAGGAGGCTGCTGCTATATGAGAGAAGTTTTTTCCTGTATGTTTGCAGTTTGGTGATGGTGTGTTTGCCCTAGAGTTGGCCCCTTTGTCATTTTATGAACCAGAGTTAGAGCAGTTTGAGGTTTTCCATCAGTTTTCCCAGTTTTCCAGAGTTTGTTAAAAAAATCACAAACTCTGATTGGCTATTGATGATAGGAAAATCTAGGAAGTGATTGTAGGCCAGAATCTTCAGCTATGAACAGCTGTTTTGCGAGTATTGCTTTGTGGAATAGTGTCAAGAACTATATACACATACTGTCTATTGATGGGAAATTTTGTTATAAAATTTATTATTATTTTTCAAATGTAAACATGTTTAAAATACTATATACTGGATGAGGCAATGAAAGGCAATTCATTTCATAAACTTCCTATATTTTAAGTGTTCTGTATGAGAAGTTGGGCAGTGCTGATGAACAACTGCTCTTGTATTATCATAAAATTGCTGTAATTATCTAAGTGTAGTTACAGGAGGAGAGCTCTGCTTGTGGTCTCCCATCTTCCCAGTACTCTCTCATATAATGCTCTGAAATTACCTATGATTTTAGCCTCCATTGTCTTCTCACTTGTTCTACCCATCTACCACTCTGTTTGGAAAATAGAACTTTCTAATATTTTTCCACCACCTTTGTTTCCTTTGTTTAAAGCTATGATCTCCTGTTCTTGAAGTTATAGATTTCAATAATTCTTCTTGTCAATTTTTAAAATTCCTGTTGCTATTTTGCATGTAGTGATCATATCACTTCTACTCTAGTTTTGGTATAGTGTGTTTAACACCTGCAGCCTCTCCTTGTAGCTCTTGTTTTACAGTTCCAGAAACCATTTTGTAAAATGTCTTTGCACCTTCTCCAGTTTATTAATGTGCTGCTTCAGATATGGACACCATGCAAGTGCTGCATATTCCAATTTTGGTGTCTCAAAGGTTGTAAGGAATGATGGGTATGGTGTACATGATAAATTAACTGAAAGGTAACTTTGTTTTATTAGTAACCTCGATAATTTTTTGCTAAGACCTTTCTCAGCCCGTCCTCCAAAAATGGGGAGGTAAATGTGACAGTCCCATAAGTGCAATTATATACTATGTATGGCAGACAGTAATTGTACTTATTTTCACTTAGTATTAAACCATACTGTCAAATATATTGTGAATATTTGAGTTTACCTGAAAAGCTGACTAGAAAACCATGACCTAACCTAACCATCTTAGTTTTTGAAGATAAGCATTTTATTGCTTCTTAATTACAATTACTGCTTAACGTATAGCTATATTCATATTACAGTGTTATAAGACATATAAAACAAAACTAAAATATTTCAATAAATTGTAAAGTAATTCTGGACATTTTCAAATTTTTTATAAAATCTATTGTTAAATAAAGCTGAAAAAGAAATTTCTGATACACATGTATTTAAAACTTGTGTATAGCAAACTGAACTTCAAAACTTCATCCTAAAATTCTGAGTGTCTTGACAGAAAATGGGGTGGTAAACGTAACAGTCCCATAAGTGCAATTATGTACTATGTAAGGCAGTCAGGAAATGTACTTATTACACTTAGTATTAATGTACTGTCATTTCGGAGGATGGGTTGCCTTTCTGGTGGAAGCAGCAATAAGCATGGAGGTGTTAAGAATTCCCCTAGATTGGAAATATACAAATGTCGCCTCTATTAAAAGAGAAAACGGCAAGAGCTCTTCAGAAAACAACCGTCCATTTAGCTTGACATCGCACATCCCCAAGCTCATGAAGGGAATCGCTCGCCATCACTCGATGAACGATCTTGTGAAGTCAACACATGGGTTTGTTAAAAATATTTCCTGCCTTAACAAACCTGCTCATATTTTTGAAACTGGTAACCAGCTAAATTCAGACAGAGTTGCATTAGATGTACTTTATTTGGACTTTTCTTTTGATATGGCACCACATTTAAGACTAGCAATGAAATTACAGGCACGTGGAATAAATGGTAGAATACGAGAATGGATAAAATCAGTACTTAAAACAAAAAGCAAAAGGTCATGCTAAATGGAATGAATCTTTAGAGCTGTATTGAGGGGGTATTGCAAGGATTCATTTTAGGGCCAATCCTTTTTTGTCATATACTGTACATCAATGACATAGATGAGAATATTACAAACAGATATACATGAACTCCACAAATGGTCAGACGTGGGGCATAACAATCCACATCACAACTACCAAATTAACAATATTACATTGCAGCAGATTGATGAAGAAAAGGACCATGGAGTCGGAATCCATCATTTGCATAACAATTGTGAGCGGCAGTCAAGAAAAGCTAACCAAATCATAGGAATAATCACGTGTACCTTTAACTTTAAGGAAAACAAGGTAATTATTCAACTGTATAAACCTTTGGTGCACCCACTGGTGCACCTGGGCCTCGTAACCTGGTGGATAGCGCGCAGGAATCGTAATTCTGTGGCGCGGGTTCGATTCCCGCACGAGGCAGAAACAAATGGGCAAAGTTTCTTTCACCTGAATGCCCCTGTTACCTAGCAGTAAATAGGTACCTGGGAGTTAGTCAGCTGTCACGGGCTGCTTCCTGGGGGTGGAGGCCTGGTCGAGGACCGGGCCGCGGGGACACTAAAAAGCCCCGAAATCATCTCAAGATAACCTCAAGATAACCCCTACTTGGATTATTTTATCCAAGCATGGATACTTTGCTTTGAAGAATGGTCAACACCGGGCAACAAAAATTATTCCAGAACTAAGTCAACTCTCATGCCAGGAATGGTTGAGGACCACAGGGCTAACAACACTGCAAACTAGACATGGCAGGGCTGATCTCAAAGAACCTTTTAAAATACTAAACAATTTGGAGGATGGTTATCCCGACAACGTCTTCATTGAGATCACTAGATTTGGAGGATCACTATTGAGTCTTCAAAAAGTCAGATGTAACACTAACAAGGAGCAACGGGTTCAAACTCGACAAGCCACACTATTGGACTGAAAACAGATTTTTTTCACCCATAGGGTTATAAACCCAAGGAAACCACCTACCCACCGTAAATGTCAAAATTCTATTGAATTTTAAATCTAGCTTGAGAAGATCATTAGGACAAATAGGGGTACTTTTAACATGCCGCCAGTAGTGTTAGTGGCCCACAGGTAAATTCAGGTAAGTTATTCTATCCATTAAAGTTGCGTTACGTGGCAAGGATCAAGACAATGAGAAAGCAACACCACAGGGATTTCATGTTTTGTATTGGGAATTCATTATAAAGTGCATTGCATTGTGCTTATCTTGAATCAGTGATAAACTCATCAACAGTGCAAATCCTGATGTTGGAAATTTATATCAGTACTTCAGTCTGGGCAAAGAACTCGTGGTAACGTGCCAATGAAAAACGATGCGAGCTAAACTCAATTTTTATTTGGTATGAAAAGAAATCCCTCACAACTAACCTTACCATGATCATCTACAGTATTTGTAGTTAGGTTAGATAAATGAACAAATTGAAACCTTTCATTAAGCGAACTGACGGACTCCAACAAGGTAAATTAAAATTTATGTTTTTATCAATACAATAGATTATTTGTATACTTTATGTATGGAGATCCTTCTCTAATCATGTAAGTTTATGTGTATTGCATGTAGACATAAATTTTGTCCCGAATGAGGTCTTGCATAGCTAACAACCCTTTTTTTCCTTGGGGCTTTGCAGAGGTCCGGTCATGTACGTAAGCTTGATTGGCGTGAGGTGAGTAGCGTCTTTCAGGTGCTTTGGGCTGCTCTCCTTATACGCCGCTTTACGACAGGCTGTTTGCTCTGGTTCTCTCCAAGGATGTGGGCAAGTGGTAGCAGCTGCCTGTGCTTTCTGGAGCCTTTATAGCGGATGAACAGAGGGCTCTTATTCACTTGGTGATGGTTTTGCATTTTTGGACCCTCCACGAGCTGTTTATTCATTGACTCTGAAAGGATGTGGACTCGCTTGGCTTGTTGCCAGACGCTGAGGGCTTGTTGCCCAGTGTCGAATTTTAAGCGGTCTTACCTCCTAAGTCGCACCCGTTCGCACCCGTCCTTCACAAGGCTGTGGTGGCGTTATACTCCGTCTACCTCGGGTGTTGACACGCTGTGCTGGCCCAGTCTCTAGAGTCGGCCTGGTTCTCAACCCTCTTGTCTGTCACCCCTTTCTGTCCTCTCTTCTTCCGGGATGGGGAGTGCAGTCCAGTTTCTCTCTATGGCTGCTACTTCGTGCTCTTAGTTATATATCTCTCGAAGCTGCCCTGGCCCTTGTTTTCGGAGACAGCCTATAGTAGGACTGGGGATATGCCTGCTGTTGATCGGGGTAGGTCCCGGGTAGTCAGATTCCAGGCCATTGCGCTTCTCTCGGCGGGTTTCTCTTCCGCACGTCGGTGCCGTTCTTATGCGTTGCAGATGTAGCATGTATATTAACTAGTAATATACCTGCTCCAGACTCTCATTAGTTTATGTGCAGATAATGAGATGGGTCTGTTAATTCTACGTTACCTATCTCTAAGTGTGCCACATTCCTATAAGACTTACACTGATTCTTGTGCCAATAATTACAATTCCCAAGTGTACAACTGATTACAATTAATATATCTTCCCAACCTGCTGGATGATGGTCAGTTTGACAAGATGAAGTGTAAGCTTGTAATATAAGCTTCGACAGCACATCGACAAATTTTACCTGCTATTCATCCCCGTGCCACCTTGGCTGGCTTAATCTTCATCAATCAATCGGGAAGTCAGTCAGACTCGGACGCTTGAAAGATACCACGCATCTTCAACATTCACCAGCAAGAATGTAACATTCGACGAGTCTAGTTCCTACCCTCACAAACGTTTTAGCCTTAACACAGACAGCCAGATTCCGGCCGCATCAAGCTTCCAGGCTCTCGTCCCGCATTGGAACTCTTCGACTCTGCCCGCATTCAGAGCGCCACGCTCCAGGCTTCATCTCAACTACTACAACCCTTCCCTACATTGCCAACAAACTGGCGGCTGTAACCACGACTGTACTATAAGACGCAGAAAGATGGCCCCATCCCTTCGTTTGTGCCAGCCTTTTCTCGGTTCACCTCTTTGGCGGGATGAGGGGGTACCTGGTATGTTTTGCCGACTCCTGGTACCCATGTTTTTTTTTCCGGGTCGTTTTCCCTCGGCCTCCGATGAAGTTGGCCTATCGCTTTCCCCTTACATGGGTTCGGAGCTCTCAGGACAGGAGACCCAGACCCTACCCCGAAGGACCTAGCGTTGAAAGCACAAGTACAACGGAATATATCAGCACTCCAGAGGGCAGTCGTAATACCACTCTTTACTACAACGAGGCTTATCGGAGAGGACCACTGACATACCCATACAGGTATTTATCGACCTAAAGGCTATCAGATTGTTTGATGAAGATTAAGCCACCCAAGAGGTGGCACGGGCATGAATAGCCCGTAAAGGCTATCAGGAGAGAGTTCGACATCAAACTGCTTCATCCAGATCATGTCGGCAAACGTTACTACGAATTTTACCCAGAAAATAAGAGTGATGCTGGAAGCCGCAGGACGACGAGAAGTAAAGCAAAGAAGAAGACGAAATCGTGCCAAGGAATAAGTATGAGGTGAACCGTGCGCCCTTGGAGCCTCCTTGCGTGGGTGAGGCTTGCCTGGCGCTCCTGCCGACGGTGCAATCAACCTCGATCAAAAGTCCAGCAGCTGGGTTAAGCCCTGGGACTTTTTCCTGCTACTACAACACTTCCTCTCCAGTCTACACTTCACTTGTCTCCACTTCCCCGCTCATTCAGTGGGTATCTTGTCCAATATCTATTGTTCGTTCGTTCTCAGTCACTCGGGATCAATGATAGAGAGCAAGTGATGTCCCGTCACTTCCTGGGTGCTAAATTTTTACTGAATGATCCTGGAATGCACTGTTCACTTAAAATACCATAGACCTTATATTCCAGGCCTTTTTTTACATTTAAACCTGGGCAAAATTGTTTCAGAAGTTTTCTAAACATACAAAATCGGATCACGTGATCTATAATAGCTGAGGAGTATTATGTTAATGAGGTATGGATACCAGAATTCAATCTCTTCAGATGTGACTGGAAACACAGGCTACAAGGTGGGGGTCATGGCAGGATGTGCAAAACAGCCCTGTTGAAAATCTGAGGTACAAATATGTACGCTGAGAGAGAAATCTTTCAACATCGAAGACCCAAAACTGTTCAACACTCTCCCTCTTCACATAAGGGGCATAACTGGCCGGCCTCTCGCATTGTTCAAAAGAGTACGAGATAAACACCTTTTCAAAGGATACCTGATCAACCAGGCTGTGATTTACAGGTCAGGTTGCGAGCAGCTGTGTCTAGCAGCCTGGTTGACCAGCCCACCAATCAGGAGGCCTGGTCAGAGTACTGGCTGCAGGGACATTGATCCTCTGAATCATCGAAAGCTGACATTAAGGTAAGATACTTTCTTTTGGTTTATCTGATATCTGGAGTAGCTGAATTTAATGCATTTTATGTACCTGATAATCTATGAGATGCCCGGTGGACTGATACTTCATATCTTCTGATATGAGGATACTTCTGATATTTCCAGCTGTTGGAATTAGCTGTTAGACACCTTTTTACTGACTGTCATCTATCCATTTGTTTATGTTTTCTCCTTGGTACGTATTTATGAACATGTTCAGTGACATTATCCCACGATGCTTCAGTGTCGTGGGATATTAACCTCTTCCAGAAGGTATTTTGCAATTCTTCACTCATTCTCCGATAGTCTTCTCGAAGGTAGTCTAAAAAGGCATTCTAGACCATTTAAATGATCTAGAATTGTATGGTATCTCAGGATGGGATAGTCTCATGAAGGGGGCGAGCTCCCACACGTGGATTTGAATGATCATGGCCTTTGGATCTAGAAAGCTGTTTTTACCCCGGGGTGAGCCCTCGTCACATGATGTTTGAGACAGTGAGAAAGGAGCCATGTACTAGGTCAGGAAATTGCTCTCCTGTTTACGCTACAAATTCTGAGCATCCCTTAACTGCTGGCTGCACTACCCTGGAAACACAAACCGAAACTGTCTCTATTTTCCGCTTGTTACAACTTGTAATAAAGTTGTTACATCTTGGCTTAACGTGTTTATGACGTATTAGAACGTTGTTACAACTTGCTATATTGGTTGTTATAACTGGTTAGGAGGTGTTAAAACTTGCTCAAACGTTGTACCAACGTCGTAGTTTCGGTGTGTGTTTGGCGGGTAAATGTATAATTTGACACCTGTTCTTGTTCAGCCTTGCCTGAAAGGTTGGTGGTACTCTGGGACATTGAATATTCTGAATATTCATTCGTCAAGCCACGCAAGAGGTGGCACGGGCATGAATAGCCCGTAATTGTACAACTGCTATCTGCCGAGTACAAATTTAAAGGGATTTTATTCCTTCTGCTTATTTAGTATAAATGCCATTCTGCACACTGACGTTCTGCACACTCATTCTGAACACTGTCATTCTGCATGCTGTCATAATGCACATTGTCATTCAATATACTCATTCTTCACTCTGTTATTCTGTACTGTGTCATTCTACACATTGTAATTCAACACTCATTCTACACGCTGTCATTCCACACACTGTCATTCTGCACGCTTTCATGCTACACACTCATTCTACACACTGTCATTCTACACACTCATTCTGCACGCTGTCATTCTGCACATTGTCATTTTATACACTCATTCTACACACTGTCATTCTTCACGGTTTCATACTACACATTGTCATTCTACACAATGTTATTCAACACACTCATTCTGCACACACAGTCATTCTACACACTCATTCTGCACACACTCATTCTGCACGCTGTCATTCTACACACTCATTCTGCACGCTTTCATTCTGCACATTGTAATTTTATACACTCATTCTACACACTCATTCTGCACGCTTTCATTCTGCACATTGTAATTTTATACACTCATTCTACACACTGTCACTCAGCAAATTCATTCTGCACGCTCTCATTTTACACGCTGTCATTCTACACATTGTCATTCTGCAATCTGTCATTCTGCACACTGTCATTCTGTGCGCTGTCATTCTGCACACTGCCATTCTGCACACTTTCATTCTGCACGATGTCATTCTGCACGATGTCATTCTGCACGATGTCATTCTGCACGATGTCATTCTGCACGATGTCATTCTGCACGATGTCTTTCTGCACCCTGTCATTCTGCACGATGTCATTCTGCACCCTGTCATTCCGCACGATGTCATTCTGCACCCTGTCATTCTGCACCCTGTCATTCTGCATGCTGTCATTCCGCACGCTGTCATTCTGCACGATGTCATTCTGCACGCTGTCATTCTGCACGCTGTCATTCTGCACCCTGTCATTCTGCACGCTGTCATTCCGCACGATGTCATTCTGCACCCTGTCATTCTGCACGCTGTCATTCTGCACGATGTCTTTCTGCACCCTGTCATTCTGCACGCTGTCATTCCGCACGATGTCATTCTGCACCCTGTCATTCTGCACGCTGTCATTCTGCACGATGTCATTCTGCACGCTGTCATTCTGCACGATGTCATTCTGCATGATGTCGTTCTGCACGCTGTCATTCTGCACGCTGTCATTCTGCACGATGTCATTCTGCACACTCGTTCTGCACGATGTCATTCTGGACACTGTCATTCTGCACGATGTCATTCTGCACGCTATCATTCTGCACGATGTCATTCTGCACGATGTCATTCTGCACACTGTCATTCTGCACGATGTCATTCTGCACACTGTCATTCTGCACGATGTCATTCTGCACGATGTCATTCTGCACGCTATCATTCTGCACGATGTCATTCTGCACGATGTCATTCTGCACACTGTCATTCTGCACGATGTCATTCTGCACACTGTCATTCTGCACGATGCCGTTCTGCACACTGTCATTCTGCACACTGTCATTCTGCACGATGTCATTTTGCACACTGTCATTCTGCACGATGTCATTCTGCACACTGTCATTCTGAACACTGTCATTCTGCACACTGTCATTCTGCACACTGTCATTCTGAACACTGTCATTCTGCACACTGTCATTCTGCACACTGTCATTCTGCGCGATGTCATTCTGCACAGTTTCATTCTATATAGTTTCTTTTATTTTGTTCTTGCTTGTTTGTGAAGATAAATCTGATTAGTTTTGGCTCTCCTGCTATCTTGATCACGTGACCTCTCGTTATCTTTAGCTTTGAATGTGTCCTGAGGTAAGTTTCTCAACTCGTTTAGTTGGTCTCTCAAATCTTTTTTTTCGTTTTTACTGTTTTCCTGTGAGGTCTGGAGACATGTAAATGTTTTTTATATGCTCATCCACTTGTTTGAGGGAATGTGGCTCATTTGTTTGGAGGACGGGTTGGCCAGGATAGGACACGTTAGTACGTCAGTTTCCTGACGTTGGGAAGCCTTAGCAGGACTTACTAGTTAACCCAGCTTGACTCTCCCCTTTTGATTGCAATAATGCCAGCACGTTCACCTTTTATTAATAGTGGAAAATCCTGAAACTGATTCATCAGTTCTTTTTGTCCCTCTTGTAGTTATTTAATTTTTTTCCATACTTTTTCCTTCGATATTCTCCATGATAGTGGTGGGTTTGTTGGCCTGTGGTCCACATGTCGAGCAGTGAGAGTGGAATAGGTCTTTGCCTTCGATTTCATCATTGTACTCACCTAGTTATGCTCACCTAGTTGTACTCACCTAGTTGTGCTTTGGCTTCTTGGCCCCGCCTCTTAACCGTCAATCTACTACCTCTCAATGCGATCGTTGTTCGCATCGCATGATATATATGTTTGGGCATTTACTGTGGGAGATAACCTGGCAAGACACATATATGGCTTTAGTTTAGGGACGTAGTTTAAAGCCATAAATCAAGAAGAAGTCTAATTGACTTGACCAGGATTCGAACCCATGACGTCCGGGATCAACCCCAAACGTACACAGTACCGTAACTACCGCACCAATGATCGTCCGAGCAATTGATCGGTACTGTGCATATGCAAGAATAATTGCAAAACACACTTGATTCAGTTATGTCTAAGTATCCACACACAGTGAAACGAAATTTCGGAACGTTTTAGTGTTTAAGCAAATTATGAAGGATTACAGACAGAAAAGATTGATTGATGACTGATGAAGATTAAGCCACCCAAGAGATGGCACGGGGATGAATAGCTCGTAAAAACAGAGAAGACATGAGTTTGGGACTATACATATCCTCTACACCTGGATAGATTAAGATCCAAGAAGCAAATGTCGAATAATGGAAGAGAAAGGATTGAGTGGGATATGTTGACCAGACCACACACTAGAAAGTGAAGGGACGACGACGTTTCGGTCCGTCCTAGACCATTCTCAAGTCGATTGAATGGGATAGGCTATTCCCTATTTCTTGGAATGTGATGACTGGGAATGATTATTCCCTACAATCATATACAATTATTCTTCACTTAATTTTATACCTATCATAAATCTTACCAATTATTAAGTTCTCTTTATAGGTTTATCTATATCTACAGAGTTCTACACTCACATACTGTTGAGGACAGAGTTCTACACACACACACTGTGAGGACAGAGTTCTACACACACACACTGTGAGGACAGAGTTCTACACACACACACTGTGAGGACAGAGTTCTACACTCACACACTGTGAGGACAGAGTTCTACACACACACACTGTGAGGACAGAGTTCTACACTCACACACACTGTGAGGACAGAGTTCTACACACACACACTGTTGTGTGCTGTGTTCTAAACCTAGCCACAAACGTGTTTTTTCCCCCTTAGAAGTTGAGGCGAGTGTGGCTGGAGGCGGGGCGAGGGGTGGGGGTGCCGGGGGGGGGAGGAGGCAGGTAGCGGTGCTGGTCGGGCGCTGGGGCCGCCTGCAGGACAGGTCGTTGACCGCTCTTCTTGCATATTGATAAACACTGGAAGCAGGTAGTGTTGACATGTAACAAGCATCAGGGCGGGGAGGAGGAGGGAAGGGAGAGTGGAGCAGTGAGAGTACTGGTAGCGAGCGAGAGTGAGGGCCCGCTGGGATCTTGGCCAGACCTTCCCTGAGGCTTGTATTAAAGCCTGACCTCAACCTTGTTCTATCCGCGCGGCCAAGGTTAGCGTGGCTTTAACATTACGGTCGCCTCTAACGACCGTCAGCGCTTCGCGATTCAACGTGATCGTTCGGCCGTTGTGATCGCCTCATAGCAGGCGTCTTGCGGGTGTGGTAGTTGGGTGTGTAATTACGGTGTGTGAGAGTGTACAGGTGACCGGAGGATTGGCGGTGTGGGCGTGTTGGTGTCTGGTGTCTGGCGCAGCAGGCGACGGTCTGCTCGGCACTCGACAGTGCTCGTCATGGCGGGAGCGGAGGAGGACGCGCCTCCGTCTCTCTCTTGTGTCTCGTCTCGGTCATTACGACCTTCTGTGCGGTCTGCTGCACGGCTCCAGCACGCCGCAGACGCTGCTGCACTGGACAAGTGTGGCGGTGGTAGTGTTGAGGTGAGGGGGAGGGGCGTGTGGGTGGGGCGAGTGCGCCCCCTGCCCGCCGCCGGGAGTGCAATAGCAAAAGCAGCGGTGTGCAGCACCAGCAGCCCGCTCGCCCCTCGCTTCAGTGCAAGAACTGCAGTCGTGCAACCCGCAGCGTCACCGCAACGTGTCCTAAGAGCAGCACACGGTGTGAGCTCCGCCTTGTGCTACCCCAGCACTCCCTCACAAGCTCCACCACACCAGGCGGAGGTTGCTCCTCCACCACTGGCCCCCCCCGCACCCCCACCCACCTCCCACCCTCAACACACACTCTCCACCAATAGTAATCCATCTCCAACAATGTCCTTCAACAAGTGTCCTCCAACAGTCTCAAATAAAGGTGCACCTCCCACAGTGCAGTGTACTACTACAAATGTGAATACCAGTTTCTTGAAAAGCAGTAATGAAGTACAAAGTGTGATGTCTGGTGTTGTGAAAAGTGTGCTAAAAGAGGGAGGAGGAGGAGTAGTGGAGGAGGAGGAAGAGGGTGAGGATGGGGATGGGGATGGGGAAGAAGACGGGGGGGTGAAGAAGACGACTCAGCGCCGCTCTGCAAGATACGACTCCGCCGACTCCTCTGACAGGTAAGACGCCGCCACGTGATCTTGTTTATTGTGGTGGTGCGGGGGTCACTTGCCTCGTCCCTTGACCCCTCCCGTGCCCACCTAGCCTTCCTCTCCCCTGCCCTGGCCCCCCTCCCTCCCTCATGCCGTCCCCAGCCCACCCCGCCTTCCTGTTCCCGCTCCCCCCCCCCCCACCCACACCATCATCCCATCCCAAGCCCAGCCTACCCACCCAGCCCATCTTCTTGTCCCTCTATACATCCCTTCCCCCACCCCCTCTCCATATCCCATCCCAGGTCCATTTCCTATCCCCACTCGAGGCCCATCAACCTACCCCCATGCCCTGGTTCATCCACCTAGCCCACCCCCTCAACCTGGGCTCTCTATCCCTAGGCTACGCCATCCCGTTCCCGCCTACGTGCTCACCTCGCCGACACATCCATGATAAATTGAGCACCAGAGAAACTGGCAGCAGCCGTAACACGGGGAACTATAGCAACAGTGACGATGAATTAACAGTGACGATGAGTGTTAGCAACAGTGACGATGACTTAACAACAGTGACGATGAGTGTTAGCAACAGTGACGATGACTGTTAGCAACAGTGACGATGACTGTTAGCAACAGTGTTGTTGTTGCAAAAGTGACAATGACAGTATTAGCAACAATGACGATGACAGTATTAGCAACAATGACGATGACAGTATTAGCAACAATGACGATGACAGTATTAGCAACAATGACGATGACAGTATTAGCAACAATGACAGTGCTAACAACAGTGACAATGACAGTGTTAGCAACAGTGACAATGACAGTGTTATCAACAGTGACAATGACTGTTAGAAACAGTGACAATGACAGTATTAGCAGCAGTGACAATGACTGTTAGCAACAGTGACAATGACAGTGTTAGCAACAGTGACAATGACTGTTAGCAACAGTGACAATGACAGTGTTAGCAGCAGGGACAATGACAGTGTTAGCAACAGTGACAGTATTAGCAAAAGTGACAATGACAGTATTAGCAGCAGTGGCAATGACTGTTAGCAACAGTGACAATGACAGTATTAGCAACAGTGACAATGACAGTATTAGCAGCAGTGGCAATGACTGTTAGCAAAAGTGACAATGACAGTATTAGCAACAGTGACAATGACAGTATTAGCAACAGTGACAATGACAGTATTAGCAACAATGACGATGACAGTGTTAACAACAGTGACACTGACAGTGTTAACAACAGTGACACTGACAGTATTAGCAACAGTGACAATGACAGTATTAGCAACAGTGACAATGATAGTATTAACAACAGTGACAATGACAGTATCAGCAACAGTGACAATGACAGTATTAACAGTGCCAATGACAGTATCCGCAACAGTGACAATAACAGTATTAGCAACAGTGACAATGACAGTATCAGCAACAGTGACAATGACAGTATCAACAACAGTGACAATGACAGTATTATCAACAGTGACAATGACAGTATTATCAAGTGACAATGACAGTATTAGCAACAGTAACACTGACAGTATTAGCAACAGTGACAATGGCAGTATTAGCAACAGTGACAATGATAGTATTAGCAACAGTGACAATGACAGTATTATTAACAGTGACAATGACTGTTAGCAACAGTGACAATGACAGTGTTAGCAGCAGGGACAATGACAGTGTCAGCAACAGTGACAATGACAGTGTTAGGAGCAGTGACAATGACTTAGCAACAGTGACAATGACAGTATTAGCAACAGTGACGATGACAGTGTTAGCAACAGTGACAGTATGAGCAAAAGTGACAATGACAGTATTAGCAGCAGTGGCGATGACAGTATTAACAACAGTGACGATGACAGTATTAGCAACAGTGACAATGACAGTGCGAACAACAGTGACAATGACAATGTTAGCAACAGTGACAATGACAGTGTTAGCAACAGAGACAATGACTGTTAGAAACAGTGACAATGACAGTATTAGCAGCAGTGACAATGACAGTATTAGCAGAAGTGACAATGACAGTATTAGCAGCAGTGACAATGGCAGTATTAGCAACAGTGACAATGACAGTATTAGCAACAGTGACAATGACAGTGTTAGCAACAGAGACAATGACTGTTAGAAACAGTGACAATGACAGTATTAGCAGCAGTGACAATGACAGTATTAGCAACAGTGACAATGACAGTATTAGCAGCAGTGACAATGGCAGTATTAGCAACAGTGACAATGACAGTATTAGCAACAGTGACAATGACAGTATTAGCAACAGTGACAATGACAATATTAGCAACAGTGACGATGACAGTATTAACAACAGTGACGATGACAGTATTAACAACAGTGACGATGACAGTATTAACAACAGTGACACTGACAGTATTAGCAACAGTGACAATGACAGTATTAGCAACAGTGACGATGACAGTATTAGCAACAGTGACAATGACAGTATCAGCAACAGTGACAATGATAGTATTAACAACAGTGACAATGACAGTATCAGCAACAGTGACAATGACAGTATTAACAGTGACAATGACAGTATCAGAAACAGTGACAATGACAGTATCCACAACAGTGACAATAACAGTATCAGCAACAGTGACAATGACAGTATCAGCAACAGTGACAATGACAGTATCAACAACAGTGACAATGACAGTATTATCAACAGTGACAATGAAAGTATTATCAAGTGACAATGACAGTATTAGCAACAGTGACAATGGCAGTATTAGCAACAGTGACAATGATAGTATTAGCAACAGTGACAATGACAGTATTAGCAACAGTGACAATGACAGTATTAGCAACAGTGACAATGACAATATTAGCAACAGTGACAATTGACAGTATTATGAACAGTGACAATGACAGTATTAGCAACAGTAACAGTGACAGTATTAGCAACAGTGACAATGACAGTATTAGCAACAGTGACAATGACAGTATCAGCAACAGTAACAATAACAGTAGTAACGCTGTTAACAATAGTAACAGTCTGAGGTTAACAGTATTGCTAGTGACATTAGCATCAACAACGGTAAAAGCACCAACGGTGAAACACAAATTTAACTGTAACAACAGAGACAAACGGAGCAACGGTGTTAACAGTATTAGGGTGATACACAGCCTAGTGATATACCAGGCTAACAACAGTCTGTTACAGAAGGGTTTCAAACATAGTAACAGTAACATAATGAGTGATAATTATCATTACAGTAATATTAGTATATTATTGTAATATAATTACAATAATAACGAGAGATAATGACAGGTGTCACAAGGATTTTAAGACGAGCAACAACAGTAGCTTATGACAGCAGCAACAGTAGCTTATGACAGCAGCAACAGTAGCTTATGACAGCAGCAACAGTAGCTTATGACAGCAGCAACAGTAGCTTATGACAGCAGCAACAGTAGCTTATGACAGCAGCAACAGTACCTTATGACAGCAGCAACAGTAGCATATGACAGCAGCAACAGTAGCTTATGACAGCAGCAACAGTAGCTTATGACAGCAGCAACACTAGCCTTGACAGCAACATTAGCCATGACAGCAACAGCAACACTAGCCAAGACAACAGCGGTGCGAATCTGTACTTGCCAGTGACTGAAATATCGCTAAATATTTATTGGTATAAAACAAAAATGATCGTCTTGACTAGTTCGCATCTTTCAAGAACTTTGACATTTTGTTGATATGAAGGAGAAGATATGAAGCTTGTTTTAAAGTATTGTCCCATAATATATATCAGTCACTGCCAATTTTGGATACATACACTTGCCCAAGCAGGTATCAATAGTGCTATTGAGCAAGTGTTATGTATCACGTCCAGATCATCACTGGCTGGCAACCTAACTACAGCTATCAGGTACCACCCGAAACCCGTATTAACATGAGCGTGCCTTTTCGAACCACAATCATTGTCTGGTCCCGATCAAAAGCAGATGTTTTGAACTCTTAATCCGTGATCGCCCATATAGTTGAGAATATTAGTCTGATATATAAATATATATATATATATATATATATATATATATATATATATATATATATATGTGTGTGTGTGTGTATATCACTCGATCTGTAAAATGACCTTCTGAAGATGTATTTAATATACGAAAGTACTTAAGGAAATTTCCTGTTTCATTTTTCCTCCGTGGTCTGACATTGTCATATATATATATATATATATATATATATATATATATATATATATATATATATATATATATATATATATATATATATATATATATATACAGTGTACATTCTTTTCTCAGTTTAGACCGCCTTCCCTGGCTGAAATGCCTCCCTTGGGAGCCTAGTACAGTGCCTCCCGTTTGAGAGTCACTAGGCTAGACTATCTTCAACTCGCTAAACGCTAACTTCCAGTGACAAGATTAACCTTAAAGGTTAACCACCCATGACAAACGTTAATATTAACCTCCAATGACAAAAGCAAAAGCGTTTGCTTAATAACATTGACGGCAATCTAAAACTTTGTGAAAAGTATAATGATTTTATTTTATGAGTTAGCTGGATAGGAATGAACGCCAACATGTACAGTGGAGGACGATAATGATAATGGCAGTGAAGGTAAGAGGCGCCATAAAGAGTGAGAAGAGAGTAAGAGGCAACAGTGAGAAGAGAGTAAGAGGCAACAGTGAGAAGAGAGTAAGAGGCAACAGTGAGAAGAGAGTAAGAGGCAACAGTGAGAAGAGAGTAAGAGGCAACAGTGAGAAGAGAGTAAGAGGCAACAGTGAAAAGAGAGCAAGAGGCAACAGTGAGAAGAGAGTAAGAGGCAACAGTGAGAAGAGAGTAAGAGGCAACAGTGAGAAGAGAGTAAGAGGCAACAGTGAAAAGAGAGTAAGAGGCAACAGTGAGAAGAGAGTAAGAGGCAACAGTGAGAAGAGAGCAAGAGGCAACGGTGAGAAGAGAGCAAGAGGCAACGGTGAGAAGAGAGCAAGAGGCAACAGTGAGAAGAGAGTAAGAGGCAACAGTG